AGTTTAATCTCTAAAGCAGGGCTCCCTAATTATTTTGTCCTCGATGGCCTACAAGACAAAGCCAAGGGCCACTGCCCCCAATATTTTTCTGTTATGCGGCAACAAAACGCTGCATTTGCTAAGATTTTAGGTCCAGATAGTACAAATCCAGAAGAAGATTTTGTTTCAACCAACCAGCTGAGTCCTCTGTGACTGGGACTCTTTATACTCAACTGGTTGGTTGAAACAGAATCTTGGTCTGGATTTGTACTCTCTGGACCTGAAATCTCCACCTCTGCTAAAATGCATGTGGCTCGTTTCATCCAAAGCAAACACTTAACACTCTGGCCTGTGAGCTGCTGTTAAGGAAACCCTGATCTAAAGTGTCACAGATCCGGCAGTGCAGGGGCTCAGTGGGCTTCCCTGCTGAGGGTGGCTGGGGGCCTCGAATCCTCTCTCTGCTCTGTGGCTGGAGTCCTCCCCGTGTGATGCAGGTTTTCTCCTGCAATCCAGGATTGATAGGCATCTTTAACTTTTAACTTGTAATAATTTGTGTTTGTCTGCCCTGTGATTGGCCGGCATCCTGTCCAGGGTGTGGCCTGTGCTTCCTGGGTTTGGCTTGAGGGTTTGGTTTGAGGCTGAGGATTATGGATGAACTGTGTTTCAAAACCAGATAACATTTGTTGCCAGTAGGTGGCTCCCTTTTATAATCAGAAATTGTCAACACATGGTTGTGAAGGTGCACAACAGTGTTACCGTACTGTCACCAGGCAAATCACCTTTATAAACTGGTACAACACGTTCTGAAGAAATCCAGCCCGTGAATGACAACTGCAAGCTGCTGTGGACCTGTATGTATGCATCACTGTGGACCATTACTTAAGTGGACTTTGAGAAAATGTTGGACTGCTGCAAGACATTATAGAGTGTGCTCACCGGAATCAACACCTCAGAAAGTTTACAGTTTATCAGCCCAAGAAGAAAAAAACAGTAACACTGAAAACTAATACCATGGCTTCTAGCCTAAACTAACAAAAACATTCAACAAGAATAACCACAAGTTTTGACATCTCTAGACCACATAATGGGAGCTGTTTTTTATCAGTGAGTTGTGTGTTTCAGAAATAGCGGACTGATGGCCTGTGAATATTGGGGGGGGGGGGAGGCCACATGTTTTCAAAACTGGGGTTTAAATCCAACACCCAGCTGGAACTATTGGGGTCAGCCTCAATCCAGGCATGGAAAAAAGCCATCACCAGCTAGGACCTCTGCCAAAGAGAAACATGACAAGACCTTAATGGTTTTAATGTTTTCAAGCCCTTATTACGAAGTCTGAGTCCAAATTGAAACATTCCTATGTCTTCAGGGCAAGCCATGATGACTAGACAACCATATGGGACCAACAGCAAAACAATTCTGTTTTCAACACGAGTGGTCAGTGTGAACACGAATCCCCTTGCATGTCGGCGGGAGTGAATGTTGACGTCTCCTATATACAGATTCAGAGGCTGCAGTTTGAACCTGGTTTCTGTAGGAGTTTGACTGCATGCACTCTCATAAAGAGGGTAGAAAAATGTATTGATTTGAAGATCTTTGCTTGTCACTAGGGCTGTACTCCTGTAATTGTACCTTTTAAGGTATAGAAATAGACTTTGAAGAACATCCCAAAGGTACAAACAGCATTAATGTACCATCAATAGTACAGAAATGTTCCTCAGAGTCCAAGGTACATTTACCTACAGCTAAGGGTACAATAGGCAGACCCTTGAGGGTACAGCCCCAGTGACAAGCAAATGTTCAAATTTTTACCCTCTTTTCTTAGAGTAGATACGTAGGATCAGCTCTGTCCCATCCTGCTGTACACTGGTGACCAAAATTGTGGAAGCACTTCAAATTTTTAGATATTGCAGAACTTTATTTAACTCTTGCTCTAGTTACGTATTCAATCAACCAATGTATATAATTTGTAACATTCTTTGCCTGTTTATAAACATTACCACCAGTATTCATGCAGTAATTTTAAAGTGTGATGCCAAAAGTGATAGGTGTTTCCACAGTTTTGGGTGATGGTATAGAATCTGTGTGTTGTATTTAAGGCCAAGCCTGCAGAGACCCTCACGCAGTGCATGATCCAACCTGCAGGTGGCATGTGGTTAGTTGTCCTATTAGAGGGACACAGCTAATTTGGTGACCCCAGTGCACATCTAATCGGAAACAATAGCCAGAGGTAACAAGGATCCCGTAAAGGCCTGTCGATAAAAACAATAATTTGATAAGACAGATTAGCTGCCATGAGTCTGCAGAGAATAAAAGCAGGCGTCCACATTTCGTGGCCCAGAATCCTAAGAGCTTCCTGGAACAGAGCAGTTTCATATAGGTCTGTAATACAGCAGGCACCCCCAAGGCTAAGCATCTTAGCATGGGCCCCCCCTCTAAAGAGACAGATGCTACACAGACACCCACAGAGACACTCTCAGCTGGGCAGTCTGTATCTGTGAACGCTGAGACCACCTGGTCAGCGCAGAGCTTTAGCGTTACAGTAACGCTGAGGAAGCTTGTCAGACAGGCCTTGAATGAAGGAAGAGGAGAGACTGCAGCTAGTGAAGTCCACTGGAGGAGTGAATTTGGCTGTGAGGGACTTGGTAGCCCTCAGGGGTTTAAATCTGCAGTCAGTCATTGAATTTGTTTTGGAGAGACACGTTTGCATTTATTTGGGAGAGGTTCTCTCTCTTTTATTTTTTTAAAAATAGTATTTTGGTTTATTTATTAGGAGCTCACTGTGTTAGTGCTGAGGTCACAGCCCAGGAAATCAGTTCCTGCCAGTCAATGACATTAACAGGTTTGCGGAAAAAATGAACTACGTAAAATGGTGCAAATTCTTTCCGCTTATGATGCTTTGAAAGAAATGCCCTTTGTGATCGAACTGCCAAAAAACCCTAATTATTTTATGGTGACATCATGCCTTCTGTTCCATGCCAGCTTTATAACAGCCCTTCGATCTCATTTTTGTAGTCACCCCCCTCCTCTTTCTGGTAAATGTTGTTTAATTGAATATTTTCAGTACCTCTTCTGGGTGTTACTATATTAGTCAGAATCTAAAAGGCTCCATCTGGGCGGATTACTGTCCTTTATCCTCTTACCTTAATATCCCCCATCCATTTCTTGTCCTTACTTCTGGCTGTTGAAGAGTCACTCTACACTCCACCGGGGACGGGAAATAAGGGCAGCTCACCTGAGGCGGTGTCGGTCCGCCCAGTCGGTCTCAGCGGGACTTTGTCGGATTTTACTGCAGGGATCGCCGCTTACCAGCCGTGGCACGGAGGTCCCGCTGTTTTGAAAGCCGCTTATTGAAATCAGCCCTCGTTTTATGACATCTGTAACTTTGACAGGTCCGTCAGTGATGGGTCTGCTCGGTATTAAGAGAGCTCTGCTCATCACACTGCTGCTGTTCATCTCCGCGATCCAAGTTTATTATTGTTCAAAAAGGAACAATATTAGGAAGTCAGGTAAGTCGCTCCGATTTCACGTTTTTAAGTATTAAAATAGTTAAAACAGACAAGAAGCGCGAGGCTTTGGATGTGCATATGAGCCTATTGTCAGTAGTAGCATAGAATGAAAGTACGTGAAATACGTGAGTAGTAATACGAAAAAAACCTTTGGAAACAAGGTCCTAATTTGGCCAACGAGATCTTCAAATCAATGCATATAGCCATACGTGTATGTGTATAGGAGTCTCCTCACTTTCGGTAAACTTTGGCATGTGTTGCTGAAAACTGCGGAAATGGTACAAGATGATAGCGGCATCCAGATTTGCCGACTTGTGAACAGCATTAAATGCACAGGATCGGGTCGTTCCTCGGTCGCCTTATGCTAGTATTGCATATTCGATATACTTGCACACAAATAGAGTAATTTATTAAAGTTTTAAAATCCAAACAAAATGCAGGAATAAGCGGACCCAGGAAATGGTTAGACTAACGTCGTTTGATACTCCGTGTGTGCGGCACACTTCAGTTGACAATAATTGGTGATAATAATTTTCACAACCCCTAGCGTCTCGAGACTTCCCACAGCCAGGCTTCTTGACCTTAGAAAATAATTAAGAAGCGTCTTCCATTACACTCCGTCAATTCCTTTTGCTCTGAATCAATAATATAAACAGTGAAATGATCTTTTAGATCATTTATCAACCCAGAAGGGCTGTTTCACTTGGAGAGCAACACGGTATCTCATCAAAAGAAATGAAACTGAATCTCAGGCCATCGTTTTGGGACTTTGCTGTTGTAAATAAACGGCACTTCACCCAAATTACATCTGGTCTCCTTAGAGAAGCACTCCATCTAATGAAGCGTTCTAGGAGCCTTCTCCAGATGTTCAGCCCAGATGTTCAACACCAGCCAGAACAGCTGCTTTCTTATTCTCCATAATGATGTTGACATGTCTGGCAGATGCATGGCATATGTCTGATGTTATGTGCATAATTTGTACAGAATGAAGACTAAAGAATATGAAAAAGATACAGCAGATTGCACACTCATTTTAATACAATATCGGCTCAAGCTGGTTTTTATAACCTATAAGCTTTATAGCCTATCAGCTTTATAGCCTATCAGTGGACAGTGTCATGCTAACACGTTCTGGAAAAATGAGTCATAGTTCACCTTTTAAGGAATTCACATGAATGCGGTGCTCAGCCAGGAGGGTGGGGGATGAAGGTTGGATGAGCCTGGGATGCAGATCGGGGCTCGGATACCTCTGGAGGGCATCATCGCTCAGGAGGGTATCACCCAAAATATGCAGGAAGGCTCCATATGACATGATGTCCAGCTTAGGATCAACATCTGGCCACATCAAAAACAAAATTCAGCGGAAATGTTCACAGTCATGCGGTCCCCGGGAAGCGAAAATAAACACTCGAGGCACGACGGATGCACACGCGCACCCTGATCTGAGCTCGTCTGGCACTCCAAACTGCCCATTACAGATTACACTCTCCATGTGCTGTAGCGCTATCTGACTGTAAGAACAACTGAGTTCCTGTGCTGTAGCTGTTTACTTGTGACCTCAGAGGACCTCCCGAGTGAATTCTCTGGAGCAGTGCATTTCCTCACCATGACGAGGGATGAGGCAAGGTGATCAGAGATGACTGGATATGCCAGGTGGAGTTAGAATGCGCAGTGTGTGCTTGGGTTGGGGCGGGGGTCCCCGTTGGCTTGCTTAGACCTTTGCTCCACGTGTGTGGCGATCTTGCAGTGACCTCGCTCACCGTGTTTGGATGTTACTGGTCTCTGCTGTCACTTGTGAAATGCCCCACTGGTTTGTATGTAGCACTGGAGCCCGTCTGTAGCACGGTGCGCTGGAGAGTGCATGGCTTGCCTGAAGTGTGACATGCCTCGTCCCCTCATTCTGCTCCGCAGAACGCCTCTCTCCACCCTTAGACGTCCAGCTGAAGGTGCTGAACTGCACAGCTTTCCAAGTCCAGTGGAAGACGGCTCAGAGACCCACCAGCACCGTCGCTGGGTACAAGGTACTCAAAACCCAGACCCTGCATTTTACTTTTTACATGATGAAGTGAATTAGAAACAGGACTGTCACCTGTTGGGCATTTGCTGTAAACGCAGATCCAGAAGGGTGTATCTGATTTAGAACAGAATACTTTTATTACCCTGGAGGAAATTGCTTGTAATTACAGACTATATAGTACACAAAAAGACGAAAATAGACACAGTACCACATACAATATTTTCAATATAAAAATGAGTAAGAGATGCCACTAAATAAGTGGCTGAATATTTAAATAAATACAGTACTGCAGTGAAAAATGTTCGCATTTTGCTGATAAAATATTGTACGAAAAAAGATAAATGAATATACGGTATATATATTGATAAAAATAGGTCGCATTGCATATGTGCCCTGAACGATATAAAAGCATTGGATTGTGTTATACTTTCTGGGGGAGAAAATGGGGGAGGAACATGTTGTTTTTGATATATATATTTATTTATTTTTTTTTGGGGGGGGGGGGGGGGGGG